TTCGACCCAAACCTTGCGGATCCCAAAACGTCCCTCACGCCGTGAGGAGGCTGTACCAGGAGCTCGCGCCCTGGCAGGCCTCGCCCTACAAGCGCTCCAGGCACCCCGCTTGCGTCGAGGAGACTCGGCTCCAAGCCTCCCAGACCTACCGCCAGGCCTGGCATGGCCCTAGGACCCTTTGGGGAGGCTTTGGCAGGTGGATGAATCGTTTCTGGGGGTTTGCTTTTGGGGCGCGATGTTAGGCAAGATTTTGAGGAGGCCTTTGGTGTGTTTTTTTTTTTTTGGGTGGGGGGGTGGGGGGGTTGGATGCTTTGGTGTTCTGGTGAGCCGAGAAGCTTGATTTGAGCAACCTTTCTTTTTGAGCCGCGTGAAATGGAGGCTGGACACACCGGCCAGGAAGGGTTCGTTTGGACCAAGCACGGGGTAGCAGCTGCCCCCCCTTTACTTTATGCCGTTGTTGTAGGAACAGATGCAGAAACATGCAGAAAGTCATGTTTGACCCTTAGGGGTTTTGGCAACTGTAGCAAACCTAAATCTGCTCAACCCTGAAGACAAAATTGATTTCGTGTTCGTGGGCTGTTTCCTTCCAGTTGGCGAAATCACATGTAGTGTTTGATTGCGGCTCTGTTTGTCTCTGTTTGTCTCTGTCTGTGTGCGCTTGGTTTGGTCTGGTCTGGTCTGTCTGGTGTGTGTCATTTGTCTGGTCTGCCTGGTCTGTCTGTCTGGTCTATCTGGTCTCTCTGGCCTGTTTCGTCTCAATAAGTTGGTATGATTTTTCAATCAAGTTTAACATGCACGTAGATTCACATTAATATAGTTTAAACACACAGAGATCGAATGCGATCAGTTCAACATGAACAGATAGTTAGATCTGTAACTGGCTGGGATGGGATAGGATGGGGGTGGGGATGGGATGGGATGGGATGGATAGATGGATGGGCAATTTTTTCGCGACATGGAGTCGGCAAGTCGCCAGGTGGTAGCCTTTCTGAGGGAGGTCTTCGGAGTCTCGGTAGGCGCGGGTTTGCTTTTGGCTGAAAAGGTCATTCAGGTTTGACGGGTTGAATGAAACATTCCAGCCAGGTGCCTTTAAAACTTTACCAGTTGACTTACACTTCGAGGATCCCCTGGTAAACCAGTGGTGTCTGTTTTTGGGAATGTGACCTTGCCTTCAAGCCCGGGGATTGGAATATTCCTTCTTCCAGGACCCTGAAAAAGAAGCCTTTGATCTTCCTTTTGCCAAGAGAAGAATCAAGAAGGACCCTGCTTTTGGTGGCCCTTGGGAGACCAAGGTATTGAAATCAAAACTTACGGACCTTTCGATGAATGATCCGTACTCTCACAGTCTCACGGAGTTGATTCCCGTTCGTGCTTTGTTCTGCAGCCACTTTTTTAGTGGAGCCTACAAAAGTTGCAGCTTGTGTTTTGCCAGTCGGGCGTTTGTTAAGACCGGTAACAAGCATGGTGTGTTTTCAAGGATGTTTGTAGCAGTTGAAATGAACCTAGAAGCACACCGTAAAAAGATACATGAATCCAGACCAGTTTTGGTTGAACCATGTTTCGCCCGTAAGCCGGTCGACTAGGGTCTCTTTGCCAGCCGTGCTGGCTAGATTCCATGTACCGGTCTTTCCGGCAGGTTATTCCATCGTGAACCTTTACGCGGATGGTGATGATTGGACAGACTACCACCGCGAAGCCTGGCGATAGCAGTCTTTTTATTGGCTGCCTCACCGTTCATTTGTTTTAGCTTTTGTCAATTCACATTTGAGGCACAACTGAGATGGCGATTTGGAACGCACATAACAAGCAGCAAACTTGTTTTGAGCCCTCTGATGCGACTGCAGCTGGGGCCGGTGAGAATTCCGCTGCCTTAGGATTACATACAAGCATATGCATACATTCATGTGTACTGGTATAATCATATATATATATATAGCCAGAGCATCTGTCCTTCAACCCCAGGTCGATTTGTGGGCAACACGTTGGTGTCGATCCCTTGTGAGGTCAGCTTCGATCCCCATGTGAAGCCAATAACCGCTGGGTGGGGCGCAAAAAGGCTCTCGCTTCCAAAGTCCTGGTCCAGGTGTCGTTCAGAGCATTTGGCTGCCTGGACCCCCAAGTGGCCCCTTTTTTTCTGCCTTCGTACCCCTTTTTTATGGGTCAAAGGCAGAAAAAATGGGCTCTTGCCGGGTCCAGGTGGTTGAAGGGGTCTTTTTGTGGTCAAGACGGGGTCAGCTTCGATCCCCTTCCCAGGACAACTACCGGCCGGACGGCAACCGCACGGAAGAGTCCTCCGAGGTCCCCTCGGCGCACGAGGTCACGGTGGGCGCCAGCTTCGGCGCGGACCGGGAGCTCAGGTTTCGGCACCTGCAGCGCCTCGGTCGTCTCGAAGGGAAGGGACCTACGGGTTTTGCGGCCAATGACCTTGATTTTTTCCAGGACCCGGGAAAAGCAGGCCTTTGGCCGAACTTCCATTAGGAGCCAAGATCAAAATCAAGAAGGACCCTGGTTTTGCGATCTGCGGGTCCTTGGAAGACCAAGGTCATAGGACATAGATCCCGACTGTGGATGGTTGCGCAATCCATTTCGCACCACTTGAGAGGCCATGGTTGAAACCATTGTTTGTTGGTGTTTACGGGGGAGTCATCGTTCCAAGGGTTTCTTGTGTGGTGCAGGAGTTCGTCCATCCACAGTAGGACATAGTTCCCTATTTTGAAGAAACACCTAGTGATAATGGACGACCTTGTGCTCTCTCGTGAACGCTCCGTGGATTCCCCAGGACCAGCCTGAGAACGGAGCCCCGATTTTCCAGAGGATCTACTTGCAATTTTCGGGGCATCCACCGTAGCGACTACGTGAACGCCTGTACAGCTTATCTTATGCAGCGTGGCGCACTTAATTAAGCAAGCACACACCTTTTATGTTTAGATCCGCGAGCCTCTGGACCGGCACACATACGGCAGACAAGGGCTCACTTGTCATCCCTGCTCTTCTTGCCAAGTGGTGGATGACCACGGCTATGCTGGGTCAGGTAGGGTGATGTAGGATGATTTAGGATGATTACCCTCCGTCCCGGACCCGCTTGCCTATCCTTCATGCTAATTCCGACCCACGCCGCTTCCTTCTCGGAAAGGGCGGCCGAAATTGAATATCATGAACAGCCGAGCAACCGCCTAATAGCCTAATGCTGAACAGTCATTGCCTGAGGAGGGCCCTTGTTGCTTTTGGTGTGGATCATTGCTCTCTCGCCGCGAGAGAAAAGATACACCAGCAAGCCATGTGGATCCAACCGGTCGCCATGAGGACTGGTTTGGAGTTCGCCTTCCCACAAGCCAATGGCGACGTCTTTGCCTTCACTGAGCCGGTCTCTCGGACGGAGAGCCAAGCACTAAACCTAGAGGTTCTTTTTTTGGGACGGAGGGAAACCAGAAAGGAGCACTCATGGGAGCTTCTGAAATTGGGAAACTCGAAGCAGCTGGCTTCCGTTTTTGACATTGTGCTCATCTATCCTCCCACTGGAGGTCCTTGTTCAGAGGCAGTCTTTCAGGTTAGCTTCGAACGTTTGTGAGCGATAGGGAACCTTGGGGAAATACCAACCTGGGGCGTTTGTGACCTCACCCATGATGGAGGCTGCTTGGGGTTAATTAACCGTGCTGTTTCTGGTGTGTTGCGTATGTGCGCGCACCCCTGCGTGTTTGCACTGGTTTGCTTCTGCGCGTTCTTGCCGTATGTCTTGTTTTCAATGTGGCTGTATGCGCCTGCACGGCCATTGGCGATTTTTGTAGAAGGCTCCGGTTTGTAGTGCCAGTCGTGGCCATTCTGCCTGAATGAGCAGCACCAGCTACATGTTCGCTGTGGCTCGAGCTTGACTCGGTATCCTTTGGGGTAAGCAAAGACCACCATTCGGGGTCACCTGGCAGGCATTTCATTTGGGATCCAAAGGAACCTAAAGGAGAGGCCAACATATCAGGGGGCATGTCTTGATCGGAATGTCGATCGCTTTTCGCCTGAGGTGAATTCAGCTTTTCAGCACTGCGTTCCTCGTTTCTTCCCCGCCGCCAACGTGGGGCCCCGGATTTCAGTGATCCTTTGGGGCCGCCTCGAGCGCCCGGGGATTCTTCGCAAGCCCGGCTAGGCCGAAAAGAGCGATGCAACCTGAAATCAGTACTGTGGACTTCGGGTGGGGCCGGGGGACTTATCAGGGATGCTTCCCTGTTTAGTTGCCTTTTTTGCTATTTGGGGGTTACTTCGACTAGGGTCCTCCTCATTACTATCTGAAGTCAACTCGTGTCGACGGATTGAAGCACCTAGTGGAGTTTGAGTGGGTGCGAAGGTGCAAAAGTGACCCCATAAATGGTTTCCCTCCATGATTTAATCGAGATGTTTGTAAACACTGGGTCAAGACTGGCGCGGACACTACTCTGTTGTTGGGCAGTTTGGAACATCATTCATAGTAGCACCAGGTTGAGCCAGATTCTGCTTGAGGCAGGGTGAAGTACAGGGGAGATGTAGAAGCCTTCTTTTTCGCAATTTCGGCAGGCTGCATTTTCAGGCCAAGTTATTTATTGGACGACTTATAGAATCCCCTCTTGATTCAGGTGACTCATTAGATTGGAGCCTTTCTCAGAAGCCCTTTGCTGCGTGCCTCCATTTTGTTGTCGAGGGCTTTGTGGTGCATCTCTCAGGGTGCGGGACCATCAGGCAATTATTCTGGGCTATGAGGCTATGAGGCAATCCTTGATCCGCATCTTGGGTTACGAAAGGGGTCCGCTTTGTGGCGCTTTCCAACAAAACTGGGTCCCTCAGTTGGCCCAGTAGTGCCCTTTCTCACGCCAAGGGTTCCCCTACTACAAAAGACTACAGAAGAAGAGGGGAAAGCGTACCCTTATTCTAACCTCTCTACTGGAGGACCTAGCACAACAATGGACATCGGTTTGCCAACACTCAATTTTGAACAGCCCACGTAAGCAGTCTTTCCGGATTCCCTCAAAGAAGCCAAGGAATGTCTTGCCCCATGACGCCCAAAGAGGCGCTGTCCACCCTTCGCAGGCGCCTTGGTCTAATGAAGGGGGGACCAATATTTTGTGATATCTTTTCCACTGATCACACGGCAGAACACATCCTATGTTCCATGCTTTGGTCACACACAATGGCAGAGCGAGTTTTAGCTGAACGGGCCTATAGATGAGGAAGAGGAACATGAATCAAGAGTCGCAAACCAAACTAGGCAAGAAAGAGCAGGGCTTTAATGCAGTCCCCAGGTGGTGCAGGCAGCTTTGCCGGGATCGTGTTTAACCCTGTGTAGAGGGCTCTCGTGCATGTGTTAGGGATGCATATGCAAGCCCTCTCACTTTAGCACCTAGTTAGTGATAGTCAATAGTTACTCACTAGCAATCCGATACATTGTGCTCACTGGGTTGCGGCTTTTTGCACCAAGTGAGAACCGGCAAAGGGTGCCGCAAATTGTCAAAGGGGATGCTCCTCGTGCACCAAGGTTTGTTGATTCTGGGCTTTCATGAGGCGCCACAGTGGCCATCCGAAATTGCGCCCAAGATCCCCCAAAGCTGGCGGCTACACACAGTTTCCCTTTACCAGGGCCACTTGAAGCATTCATGTGAGGAGCAGATGAGGGTGGCTGCTTGTACAGGCCAGTATCAACCCTGCATTGGGTTCTTTGCATAATTTTTGTCCGAGCCCAATTTCTCCGGGAGCAACGAAACGAGGCGTTCAGAGCTGGGACCCTTGGCAGACGATGGCCTGGCCATGTATATCGGTGCCTGGGAGCGCCTTGGACGCCGTCCATGCACGGGGGCCGATTTGAGTCGATTTTGCGCACAAATCATAAAGTGAAAGGTACAATGAAGGTCAACAGCAGGTTTGCCCCCTTTCCGCAGACCTTGCTTGATCAGGCAAACTTTGCCCCTTGATCGCGTACCATGGGGTGGTCAGGCTGTCGCAAGCAGGCGCTTTCTTAGACCTGCTTTGAAACACCCTGCTTTGGCACAAAGCCAAAGGTCAGGGGAGCTGAAAAAGGCTAACTTTTTCCGTTCCGTTTGCTTGGGTTTGCGCCGTGTCTATGATGGTTCGCGTTGTCGATGTGTTGCTGGAACGCGCTATTGCGTTTGCACCCTGGATGCTGGAACTGTTTCTAATATTCAGCTTGGTTGATGCGCAACACCAAATGCTGGTATGCGCCTTGCTGACGCCATAGTCTGCGCAAGCAGCGGCGTGTGAGCAACAGCATGACGGGCGTCAGCCGCCAGATCCTATTTGAGGGCAGCGCCATATAGGAAGTGCTCGAATGTGTCCGCGCAAGCGACCCACATGTGGAGCGGGGAACAAGGGGTGCATTTTCAAGGGGTCATTGTCGCTTTCCTTTTAATATGTTTAGAGTGTGCTACCGTGTTCCAAAAATGGCCCGGACGAGGCGGGGCCCAAAATCGGGAATTTGTTAGCATTTTTTAGCATTTGTTAGCTTTTGTTAGCTTTTGTTAGAGTTTGTTAGCTTTTCGTAGCTGTTGGCGCCATTTGTTGCCTTTTTGTAAACTTCAGCAGGTTTTGGGGGGGGGGCTGCAAACACTGTTGTCACGCTGGGCTGCCTTAATGCGTGAAATGTGACACGAAGGCCATCGCGCGCCATGAGCGTTTTAGCTGAGAAGCAGTAACATGTTTGCAGAAATGGCCAGGCAAGCAGTGAAGGGGCCAGCGAAGACTAGGGATTGTTCTGCGGTGTCTCCATAGGTGCTTTGTAAGAGGCCCGGCTCCGTCGTGATCTTGCTGTTCGTGCGTTCAACGCGCAAGCAACTGGACGTATCTTGGGGACGAAGGCAAGCGACCCAGCCACCCAGCCGCCCAAGTGAACGTTCTTCCAAGCATGGCGCGGGCCTAAGGGTGGACTGCCTCATAATGAGGCATTTTTTTTGTTGCCAGTTCATGCTCTTGAAAGCCTTGTTGGATTGTTTTGCTGCGCAGTTGCTGCGTTAGCCTTTTTTAGCTTTTGTTAGTTTTTGTTAGCTTTCTTTAGCTTTCTGTAGATTTTTGTAGCTCCCAGCAGGTTTCTTATTGGAATTTGTTAGCTCCAGCATGCTGGCACGCGCGCTTGAAGCAGGCTGTTTCAATGCGGTGTGTTACATGTTTCAATGACGCTTGGAGACCCCCTGAAGTTGGCAGGTACGATGCCGATGACTGGACTGCCGGGGGTGGTGACTGGTCGGCGGGCCTGAGCGCTGACTTGAAGCCCGGAGTGCCTGAGATGAGTTGGAGCTGCAGCCATTGGCAAGGTCAAGGAAGGTTTTGGTTTCCCTTCAAACCGTCCACTCGTTTGGGATCCCCAATTTGGGGGCCTTCTACATGGAAGGATTATCAAGGCATCGAACTTTTAAAGCACACTCGTGCAGAAGCTTGGAGATCTGAATTCTGGTGTTTCATGGGAATGCTTATGTCAAGTTCAGGGCATTTCCTGTGACATTGTCTAGTAGTCCAGCCTACGTCCTTGCAAATGGAAGAGATATCCTGCTGACCAGTTCAGTGTTGTTGGGCTGAAGCCCCATCGATATGCCATCAAGGGTCCAAGCACCTTACTCTTCATGCGTTTCTTTGTCTTGGGCTTGGGCAGGAAGAATTGTTCAAAAGGCACAAAATGGCATCAACCTGACAGCATTGCGCCTCCCTGCACTGAGCTTCAGATTTAAACTCGCTTCTAGGGGCTCTTTGGGAAGGAAGGCATCTTGTGTCCAGTTCCCCCTGCTCAATCGCAGAGAGTGGCTCCGTTTGAGGTGCCATTTGCCAAGTGCATGCTGAAGGAAGAGCTTGGTGAACATCATGCTCCTTGGACTCGGCGCAAGATCCGGTCAAACGACGGTTGCAACCTTTAACACAGCAGGCAAGACTGACTTGCCAGCTAATGTGACGTGGTTGCCCTAGCCAGCTAGAATTTCATTCGGAAGCTGTCAGAGCTTGCTTTCCGCAGTGCGTGCCACGGACAGCGGCCCAAGGTCACAAGAGCCCTGTTATTGATCAAACGGGAGGGCGTGGGCCACAAAACAAAGAAATACATTCTCCTGCAACCCCGTGCATCCCTTGCAAGATAAGTGCTGGATGCGACCAGATGGTGACCTTGGGAGGTAATTCTGAGTCCATCTCCATGGCGGTTTTCTTTCAATGGCTGAATGTACGAGCTCAATAATCAATCAAACTCGGGAAAGTGAAGGTGAGCAAGGGTTATGAGAACTTCACAGCCATAGACTGGCGTTATCTTTTTCTCACATTTGGGAGATTATTTTGCTTGACATTGTTTCATCATTTTTTCTTTATTGTTCATCATGTCTCAAGGGTTCTAGTCATTTGTTCGTCGTCTTGGCGCACCACTACAAGTTTGTGCAGAAAGCGGGGACAACTCATGAATCCGCGAAACAAATGAAGAACAATGATGGGGCCAAACGATGCCAAAACGATGCACAAATGATCACATGATTATTTGTATTTTTCTCAGTGTTTGGCTGCCCAAAGATCTCTTGAAGCAAGGGGCAGTCCCATGCATAACTAGGTGTTGCCATCCTCTTGATTCTTTACAATTCTGGTCAGTGTGGCATCAAGTTTTTGTCGTGACTGAACTCTTGATGTGCATCAATGGTTCATTGTTTACCTGATGACCGACTACAGCTTGGAACGGGTTTTTGGGGAACTTATTTACTCAGCCGGGGATGCTCGAAGAGCAACACCCCCACTCACACTCAACGGCGACATCCTGATTAGTTGTTTTTTGGTTTAAAGGTCTATCTCAAGTTCCCCAAAGTTTCGAGATGAGGCTCCATGACATTGGGAAGTCGAGAATGAACTCCGGCTTTTGCAACTAGGCATTGTTTTGCGGCCTGATCCTAGTTAGCTCCGGTGCCTAAGTCCAGTCCGATTTGCCCAAGCCCAAGGCCAGCGTAGGTGTCAGTTTGCTTAAGAATCGATGAGTTCAGAGTGTTGCCAAGTCGCCCACGAAGTTTCCTTGGGTTCCTTGCGGGTCATTGTTTACACAGATGGTAGGCGGTTTATCCAACAATATGTGCAGGTTTCATCCAGGCGTTGAAGAACATTACATCAGTGACTTGACTGCTATTGGGTTGGATCTTTAGACTTTAACTTTTTGAGAAATCAAGAAGTTTTCCACAATCCCCAAAAAGTTAAGCTTTTTGCAGGGGGTGAACAGCAACCAAGGTGAGATCCACTCCATGTAAACAGTCCAGGACTCTTTGACTTGCCAATTGAGCACCAGTCCATTTACAGAAATTGGAAGTCCTCTTCTCATTTCTCAAAGAATCGCCAGAAAGCCCTTGCTCGGTGAGCTTGCATTGCATTAAGCTCACGAATCGTGCAAAGCTTATGCTTATTCTGCCTGCCCCATTTCAGAATTCCCGAAGTTCGCCCCCTCACCCTTCTCGGGCACAAGCATGCAGTGCCAATTTCAGGGTTGTTTTGAAGGCAGCACATGAAGACCAGTCCTTGGGTCCACATAAGGCGCCAGTAGGTAAGCAGCCATTTGTCTTGTTGCGTATTGCTTCTCAAGTGGTTGCCTTGGTTAGATGAGCTTGGGTCAGGAACTTCCTCGCAGCATGCGCTGGATCTACATCGGGGAGCCAGGCAGTGGCACCTGCGCCCACTGCGACCCGCGCCTCGGCCTGGGGGAGGGCGCGGCGCGAGTCACGGTTCGACGCGGTTCGACGCCTGATGTTTCTGTTGGGCTCGTGTGGCTTTGATCGAGGGCTGCTTGGCTTGTGGTTCAGCGCTTTCGCAGCCAGAAGGTGCTTGTCATTTGAGTTCTTCAAAGCCCTGCCCATCGGAAGGTTCTGTGGCGAAGGTTCGCCCTTCTTCGGGGGCAACCGGGGTCCCGGCAATGACGGAGCCCTTGGAATTGAGTTCACGCCAACGAAGAACGCCAAGTTGTAAAATGATGAATGGAACCAAGGGACCCAAGCAAAGTCCAGGAGATGGCGCCCAGAGAAAGAAAGCGAGAGAGAGAGAGAGAGAGAAAAGCAAAGTCCGGATGTCCATTGGCGCTAAAAAAATGCCCAAATCACCCTGGATGAGTTTGACGTTTGATGGGAATCCGGATCACTTTTGTGGAAGTGACACTCCTAGTTGTAGGATGAGCTTATGAATCCGGGGTTGCAATTGTACAGAATTGTAGGTTCCTGTATACGTGATTGCCTGTGAAAGTTTTGGTCAAGGGGAGTCATCATGAAATTGGGGCTTGTTCTGTTGGCCTCGGCTGGCCAGGTGCTCACTTCGGGCATGGCATTCGCCTTTTTGGGTGTGTGGTTCCCGTTTGCAAATTTCAATTTTGGTGGCTAAACATTGAGCACATCACCCAAAAAGAGAATCCCTTTGGGGGCCAACGGAATCGCGCATTGAGCCCAAAGTTACACGCTTACGAGTCCCAAATTTGACACTTCCATTTTTTCCCGGACAGTCAAGGGCTTGCAATTGGGGACCGCTCTCCAGGGTCTGAAAGGGACTCCACTCGCTTCGGGCACTTGGGCACTGCGTGTTGCGAGGCTTTGCAGCCATGGGTGGATGTGGCTGGCCGCCGGCCGGAAAGACTGGCGCCTAGTGCACTTTGAGGTGCGGCTTGGGGGCGGCGACCTAAGGGAGCCCCATGCGAATTGTAAAACAAGCAGCTGGGAAATGTTGACTAGGTCCCCCAGTAGTGCCCCTTGTACGTTTTGTTTGTGGGAAGGTTTCCCCCACTAAATAGAGTACAGACGAAAAGGGTACCCTTATTCTAACCTCTCTACTGAAGGACCTAGTTGACATATCATTTGGAGGGTCCAACTGGTGTTGGCTTGTTCCCATGCCGTGTTCAAAAACGAGGGCTCTGGGCCGTATATTGCAAGTGTGACCATGGTCCACACACACAAAGTGCTTTCATTCTTGTTGGTTTGTGTGTGTGCGCGTTCAAGTTTTGTTTTGCGGGTGTTGTTTATTTGGAGACGGGGCTTGAAGAAAACGAGGCTTTGCCACAGTAGGGTTGGACAGTCTTTGGACGTGATCGACAAGACCGGGCCATGACAAGGTTTTCGGGACCTTTCCTGGAGCCCCCCTCATTGACAAAACAACTCGCGAAGGGCCCTGTTTGGCGCAAAACAATAAACACCGATGTTGACACTCAAAGTCCTATTGGCCAGAAGGAGCAAAGAAGTTAGGCAAGGAGAGAAGATGTTCTCCAGGTTCCCGTTTCCAGTTCAATTGGCTGGCAAGGGGCCAGAAGTAGAAGGGACGAGCCCCAGATGAATCAGGGAGGTCCTGCAAAATGCGCAGGGGGGGCTTGTCCAAAGCTTGTCGACCTTGGGCGGCCCTTTGCAAATCAGAGGTTGGCCAGTAGAAGTCCTCCATTGACTGAAGCGCCCTTTGATTCTTTTCAGATGTTTTTTGTTTGTTTTTTTGTTTGGTGGGTGCACAGAGAAGCCACAAAGGAGGCCCCACCTTTGGTTTGGGGGTGTTCGGAACAGGTCAGAGTCCGACTATGCGAATTTCTTTTCGCGCGCAGGCTGCCAGCCACACCCAGCGCTGTGAGGCGGTTCCAGAGGGCGCCCCTGAGGAGAGATGCAAAGCCCGCGACCATTCCAATGCGATCCACACCAACGATTGCCACTTCAGGGAATGGAATGGTTAAAAAGGTGACTCCTGGATGTTGATAGTTGATTGGTTCCATCTCCATTTTTTTCGTCAAACAGACATGGCAATAGACCTCATACCTTACAGTAGGGCCCTGTCGAACTACTGTTCTGAGGTGTGATTCCTGCGGAGTCAGCCACCAACCAGTGAAACAAACTGGCCCTTCTTTCAGGGAAAGTTGCTGCTTGCAAGCAGCCTCCCAGACATCCACAACTGCCAGCCGCGAAACTAGGCATATATATATATATATACATATATACATGTATCTATATATATATGTATATACATATATTCACTTTGCAACTCCCCCCCCCCCAACATGAAGCCAATTGGGAATGACGTTTGTTGGTGAGCCTTGTTTGTACTCGCAGCCGGACCTTTGGGTCTGCGTCAGGCACATGATGAACAAAGTGTTGGTTGGAGATGCGGATTGGGGCGAACTGTGTTGCGATTCAGGTGATGTATGAGGACTTTGCGCCATTTCACCACTTTGTTTGCTTCTAATTATTTGGCACTGCCAGGACTTGTTCAGCAACGGCAGTTGCAACAATCTGGCCTCTTGGCAATCAGTTGGTATTTGAGAGCGTGCCCAACACTGACACAGAGACCAGATACAGCGTGCTAAGCATGTTGTTTTGTTCACTCTTTTCACTTTGGGGGTTTATATCCTTCTTCGGTTTAGTTACTACTGTAGGTTTGCACGCATGTTCTGGCCGGCTGGAGGGGAGCCTGTGAAAGCAGAAGTCTTTCAATCGCTAAGCGTTTCTTGTCGTTCATTAGGCTGAATCAGGCTAAAGAAACGATGTTCACTTGGAGCCTGATGGCCACGGACCTCCATTCAAACAGAGTGCCAGCATGCTAAATGCTATGAGGGAACAGGGCAACGCGCCTTGCTTTGGCCTTTGGTTCTAACTAAAAGGCCTATGCCAACCGAAACGATGGTCACCACACAGTCGCAAGTCGCACTTCCAGACAGGTTCCTACTTCCAAGTCCTCCATGCATCTTCTTTGGCCCCCTCTATGCCCACTGCCCGTGGTGCTTGTGGCCATGTGACGGAATAGGAGCTGAGGTCTCGGGTTTACGGATTGGGGTTCTGGGCTTCGGGTGTGACAGCCCTTGCCTCGCGGAGATCCGACGCGTAGCTTGCCATGATTTTGGGCGACTGGAAGTGCTGACACCTACATGGGAGATTTAAGGGGTATATAAGGCGTATACAAGGGGCATAAGGGCTCACAAGGGCACACAATGGCATATGTTAGAAAGTGGGTACCAAGCACACGTTGGTTGGCCGTCATGCTGGACATTGTAGCATGGCCATGCATTCTGGTGTTCTACAATTCGAGCGACGTCTAATAAAAGGAAACGAGCTCGCGCGTAGTATAGGCATTGCTCAAGTCAATCAAATCTATTGATACATATTGATTCCTTTATAATTCTTTAAGCTTATGCAGATGAGGTCACCTGGCAACAGTAATCCTAGCTCACAAAGTTTCAGTCTGTTTTGCAGTCTCGTACTCTCTATCGCTGGGAAATGAGTGGCAAGGTCGGAAATGACTGGAGTTGGCACGGGCAAACATACTTGGCAGTTCGCATATGTATTGTTCAGGGGGAGAGGGACGTCTACACTAAGAGCTACAACGACTGGCTTGACGTATTTTTGCCAAGCTGGCTGGAAAGGCAACAAGTCAGTCATTACTCGGGAGTATGAAGCGGGAAATCGTATTACTTCAGCTACTGGAAAGCATACACTTGGCATATATATATGGGAGTTCCTGGTTAACGCTTGGCCTTTTGCTTTTGGCTCTTGCTATGTAACTTGTTTGTTCACACATGGAAGGCTTGATGAAGGGTTGGCTATCCCCGCAGGCATCCAGGATCAGCACTATCAGCCCTTGGCTTAGGGTTCACTTCCTATTCGTGGTGTGCAGAGAGTTCTTGGGGTGGTGCTATAGAAACCCTGCAGCCTGCACTTGCTGGCGTGTCCAAATGGGTATGGCGTTTGTTGAGGGTAATCTGAGACAACCCACCCATTTTTGGGGGTTCCCCCCGTGTTTATCGCCTTTTTTTGTTTCTGAGTTTAAAGTCAGCATGTCCATGGTATGGAGCGGTTGGAGCCTAGGCTCAATGGCTCCAATCTTTGGGGGCTTCGCATGAGGCGGGCGCGACTGTGACCAAGCCTCGGCAGCCGATTCGCCGATTCCAAAGATGCAAATGCTTTGACACACTCACCGTACAAAACTTGACCAGAAACATTCTTATGAGATCCCACGAGAGATTGCCATAACAATTTGACGTTTGTCAATCATCTATGCAATGCTCCCATGCAGATGGAAATGGGTGCGTCCTTCTTTTGAGCACCACCCTTTTGTTGTTCTTTCTTTGCCGAAGAAGTCAGAGCGAAACCAGCGCATTGCACCCCCCCACCCCCCACTCCCCCCAATTTTGAATGATGTCGAGACAAATTGTAGAGAGACATCTAAACAAAGGGCAAGGTTTTCTTCTGCTTTGCAAGGGTAAGGTTTGCTTGTATTCTTGAAGCTATGATTTTGATTTATCTAAAATCCAGAGCCGTGCTTCGGTGGGCCTCTGCAACAGGGGTAAGTACGGGTACGGTACTGGTGCGGTGCCGGTACGGTACTGGTACAACGGGCGGGGGTGCAGGTACGGCCGTACTCACCGTACCCCAGACTTGTGGCAAAAGCACTGGTTGGGTGTTGCAAAATCGGTTGTTTTTGATACGGGTACGGGGTAGCACCCGATGTACCCATACTGTACCGTCCTATATCGTACGGTACCCGCACCTTACCCATCCTACGTTCAGAAAACCACCAGCAACCTCCAAAATCATGTGTACACGTCTCAAGTTTAGATAAGCTTCAAAGCGTGCCCAACAAGCCCCGCCCCCTCCCGCTGCCGACCCCAGGCCTGGTTCGGCACGCTGCTGCCAGGGGAGCTGATCTTTGTGCCCGCCGGCGTGCTGCGGCCTTGCCGATTAGGGGGGGGCTGAGAGGCTGAGAGGCTGAGAGGCCGGTGCCAGATCCAAGGATTTAGGGTTGAGGGCTTGTGAGTTTAGGACTTGGGATGGGATCTCTTCTGATTCGTTTAACGTCCATGCATAAAGCATGGGCCAGAATCAACCATCTTGTTCTTTCAATGATTGGGAGTCAAAAAAGATGAGGTTCATTGTTGTACAGACAAATTAGAAATTAGAATCAAAGGCACCCCCGAACTCTGACTTAAAAGTGTTCGCGTTTTGGATGTTTGGGCAAGCCCCGCTCAGTTTGGACAGGTCGAGTTACTTGCCCGTGTCGGCTGGCCTCCGGGTGACGGAAGCACGGCCCCTGTTTGTCGAGGATCTTTGGGAACCTGTTCAAAGCCACGGCACAATTGTCCCTACCCGAAAAAGGGTGGGACAAACAGATGTGTCATACCCCTTTTTCTTGGTTTCAAAGGAAAACCAAAAGGACCAGGACCACCGCTTTTCTTTTTGTTGGGAGGGGGGGGGTTGACTACAAAAAACATTCCCAAATGGCAATCGTCTCGAATGGGGCCCTGCTACAAGTTGTGGTGCTAGCCCCAAATCATGTGTGTGTGTGTGTGTGTTTTTTCTTTTTCGTGGGACTCTGTAGCGGACGTGTTGAAAATGGTTTCAATTTGTAATGCCCCTTAAGTAGGCCTTTAAAGATGCAATACGGCAAGACATGTAAGAAACCTTCCAGTCGCAAAATGTTGAGCCCAAACAGGTTCCAAGAACCGGGTTCCGACTGCTTGCACAGGACAATCATACGTGCACTAGAAGCTATAGAGCATTGATTGTTGTGAGCCCCGATACGATCACCGGCCAAAGAACCGCTTTCCTGAGGCACGCGGTCCAGAACATCGGGCCAGGAGTCAGCTGCTCGGCTGAAACCGGCGCCAAGTTTCATCCCAAGTCTTTAACGAAAAGCGAAATGGGATGGGCAGAAATAGGGAAGCTATCAAAAAGGCGATGCTCTGTTGTTTTCTCATGTCAGAAAGGGCGCAATGTAAATTTAACGCTTTGTTCAGGCCTTCAGGCCATCTTTTTGAATCGTGGACCGTTTGTGCCAAGCGCTCAAGCTGGCTCGCCTCATGAGGGCAACCTGCGCGTGCGGCGGTTCTAAATCGCGTGAAGTTTGGCATAGTGTAAGGCATGTTCCCGAAGGTTCTGTGGCAAAAGGAACGAGTTCCACGGCAAAAGGCTGCGATATGCTGCGATTGGAACGCACAAGAGTTGGAATGGCAAGAATTCGGCATACAATGTGCCTCAACCAACGGGGCCGTACGTGAGGTCAGCTCCAGGCACTTCTGGCCCGACGCATCTGCATTGCTTTTGAGAAGTTGGCCACATGCTTTGCAAACAGCGGAGCAGGGTGGATTGCGTGACCCTTTGTGGGAATCAAGGGGCTGCCGCCAAAGCGTTTCACTTTTAGGGACAGCTTCTTCGTCACAACATGGCACGAATGGTTGTCACCTCCCCTTCCCGCTCGGTGCAAATAACTACGGGAGGATTAGCATGCATTTAGCATTGAAACACATATAGGTAGATCATGCACGTGCTTAGCCAAAACAATCGCTCTAGTCTTGCTTGATGGCAACCTTCTGGGGTTCTCAACGGAACCAGCGGGCAAACCAACATGTCCCATTTTTAAATATGTTCAATATGGTGGCTGTCCTGACTTACCCAAGTCACACCACCGTGGATTCGGGCCATAACTTGTTTGGCTCGACTCACTTTCATTCTTGTACTGGAAATCAGAATCATGGCAGTTGATCAGCATGTTCTTTGGCCTTGTGACGTGTGCTTCCGGCCTTTGTCCGAGCACCCGACATTCGCAGGGCTCGACGCATAGGCATCGCGGTGTCGCAGAACTTTATGGACGCCAGCTGCGCCGAGGATGTGCTGCGGTGCCTGGAGCAGGAGCGATGTTTTTGCGATTCGGTGAATTTTGGAGGGAAATGCCCTCTTAAATGCTGGGTGGATATGCCCTCCTTCCAACAAGCATGGAGGTGGACAAGGGGTTGCCCAAGAGGAAAGTAGAACTCCGGAACCCTTCCGTCAGCTTCTGTGATTGGTGGAGGAAGAGTCAATACCCAATGATGTCTACCAGGGTCTCCTATTTCAATTCACACCCTAGTTTAATTCGAATGGGGCTGGTGGGGGCAGAAAAGCACAATTCAGCTATGAGTGAAACGTTTTGGTTAGCCCTTATCACTGGAGCTGTAAATCGTTTCCACATCCCATGTTTCACCGTCCATGTGTAAACTGCAAGCTTCAGAACTTTGCAGTGGCAGGTCATTTCAGTATAGTAGGCTGTGGTTCTTCGTAGCTTTCAAGTCAGCCCTTCACTCCGTGGCTCGGAGTGTATGAACCTGTCACTCTTGCCGCATCTCTCTGGGTGTGCCTTTCTTTGAGTTGGTGCCCCCTCTTCTGCCGGCTTTTTGAAGGGAAACCAACAGAAATCCCCAGCATTTTCGGGCCCTGAAGAAGCCACACCCATCATGTAGCTGGCGAGTCTGGGCTGTGGCAAAACCCTCGTTGCCAGACCTTGCAGATGCTCCAAGACCTCCAAGCCAGGCCTCGGTTTGAACGCCGGGAAGACGGGACCTGGTATCTTTGCTCTCCAAGCAACTCCCTCAGGTTCTGGATGTGGTCAGATGTGGCTGGGCCCTTTCAAGCTTCAGAATCCCCCCCGCATAGCATAATACTTCATATTATGTCAGCAGTCAATGCCAAGTTTATTTGGTTTCCCCCTTCCCCCCCCCCCCCTCCCCGTGAAAAAAACTGTCGGAATTTGTTTGGTTGGATTTCCAGGGGTGCCGTTCACCTTGGGAAGTTGTGACTAAGCCCTGTTGGCGCACTCTGAAGTTAGGAATTTCAAAGTCGTTGCTCGAACCTACAAGGATCCCTTGGTTATGCAAAGAGGAAGCTCGACCACACCTGCTCGGGATTTGCTTCCGCGGGGGGGGGGGGAAGAAAAGCACTTCGAAAATGACCGATTCACCATGCACCTCCTTGCCTGGAGGAGAAGCAAGCAACATTCGGGGAACTGGGGATTTGAAGAAAACGAGCCCAAACCCACAACCCACAACCCAAGCCACCCAAAAACGAACCCAACTAAGCCAACCTGAAACCCCAGCCTGAACCAACCCCTTTTGCAAACCAAAACCCCCACATGCCAGGCCCCTTGCAGGCTCGGAGCTCAGGAACGCGAGTCAAGGTCAGTCAGTGCGCCCGACCCGTCCGACTTTCAAATGGCGAAGCTCAGTTTGTTGTCCCAGCGAAAGCCAGGGTTTCATGGCCCCTGCGAGTTGCACATCAATATCCCAAATCAAATAATGGCATTATGGCCAGCTACAGATGACAAAGGACCCATACCAACGAAAGTGAGCCGGATAATCCAAAGATGGACGAGAGGGATGCCCTCAAAATGGCGTTACACAATCGGATCATTAAACAAGCTGTGATGCTTAAAGAGATTTGTCACCGGGATTTCTCGGGCTATATTCGTGAACCTGGGGTTCTTTACCAGAAGGGAGTGGGCACGTCCTGCTGCGGGGCGGGGAGGTTGCTTTGAGTCCAAGACCTGGCTGGCAAAGGCCTTGGCAGGCATGAGCTACACACCTAGCAGGAGCCACGTCTCTAGTTTCCGATTTTCGTTGGAAAGCAGGTGCGGGTCGATTTGGGCTTGTTAATGGTGTTCAAACCTATTTCCTTTCAGGGATCAACTGCGTGGGGTACTGTAGGTGCTCTTTTTACGTACCACATGTCAATAATGATCACATGTAAATAGGTAACAGGAAAGTGTCCACTCTGGACGTGGTTGAATCCTTAGACTATTTACGAAGCTCGATACCTATGGTTCTAAGCCCAGTGTCCCCAATCCCAACAAACATTCCAATGCCATGTGCTTCACCGTGCTCCATACCTTGGAAAATCTCATCGCGGTATCATCTCCCTTGGTTTCGTTTTTCCGACTGCCTCTGCATCAGTGCTTTGAGGCCGCCGAAGCTTGGCTCGAGCGACCGAGCGACCGCACGGCACGGCCCGGGAGTCGTCGCCATGTCGAGAGATGTCACCAAGCCGCTAGACTTTGTGCAGCCGCCCAGGCGATCGGCGATCGGGCGGAGCGCGTGCATGGGGTCACTTGGGGTCTTCCGGTGATTCTACATGGGCCCCGCCAGGCGAAACCACAGAGAGAGAGAGAGAGAGAGAGAGAGAGAGAGAGGTGTGTGTGTGTGTAATGTGCATTGGGGCATGCCCATGTGAAAACATGGACTGCCGCGTTCGCGGAATCGGCTCGATTGAAAATCCCACTCCCGGAGCTCGGGAAATCGGAGCCATGGAGTCTCCAAGTGTTTCTTTTTTAACTCCCGGCTGTTGACATATGAAACGAGTTTCAGCTACAGCTGGACACAGCTTTCCTTCCTTCACTGGTTGCGCTCGCCTTGGCTTCCCGACGTCCTTGGCCAGTTAGGCCCTAGTTGGTTTGGTTTGGTTTGGGGGGTTGAACTCCTGATCTTTGTGGGTAGGTACGGAACCACGCCAGAACCTCCAAACCACCAATTCGAGGGAGGCTGATATGAACATGGGCACGCTCAGTTGAAACAAAGGGGACTTTCTCCAGCCCTGATTGAAACTCTACGGTCAAAAGGGGGGAGTGGTGTATCAGGATGAAAATGGAAGTTCTACTGGGTGTACAGGAGATTGGGTCAAATTGTCCAATAGGCTATGGAGACGGACCTCACTAATGGATGGACGAAAGCTTGCACCGCCTAAGAACCCCCGCGAATGATGATTCCCCTGTAAATACCAACGCACAATGGTTTCCCACGGCTCTTAAAATGGTGCAGGATTTCTTCCACAGTATGTCTACCACAACCGGTATTGACTCATTTGTCCAACGGGAACCGCGAAAAGAGCCTTGACGTGTACGAACCGGCCACTGAAAAGGCCAGCTTGAGGATGCTATGAAGGTGGAGGCTTGTCTTATGGAAACAACTGGGAATGTCACCCCCTTTTGGTTGTGAAGGGAAACCAAAAGCAAAATCCCCAGGCTTTGCAGGAAAAGCTCTTTTTTTTTGGGGAGGCACCCCCTTTTTGCTGGTTTTTGAAAGGAGACGCCCAAGCAACGCTCAAGCCATGTTGGGTGTGACCCCAAAAAGAAAACTGACACCCAACTCATTTCCACGGAGGACCGTGGCTGGCGGCTTCATGCGGCCCAACCGCGTCCCAGATGTGGAGCACGAGATCCTGATGCAGGCCACGTGCATCGTTTGATGTCTGGATATATAAACCATGTGTTCATGTCTTTCCAAAATTGTGAGAATTTTATGTTCTTTCCATTTCTTTCATTATGGGAGTGGACAGGGTGTCAAGAGGACAGTCTTCCAACACCCTGTCAGCTTCCATGACTGGAGGGAGGGTGTGGGTAAACTTCACGTACGATGTCCCTCCTTTTCAGGGGAGCAAACCTAGTAACAAGTGGGTAAACGATATTTGCATGGCCACAGTGACAATAGCCCCCTTCTTGGGGCCCCCGAAAACACTCGCGTACCGCCGGCTTTTGTGAAGCGATACATTGATTTGCTTTTGCGTTGAATGTGCATATTTCTTCAGACCATAGGTGCATGTGCTACTCTTTGTTAATGTGGGTCAGTCTGTTATCTTGGCGGAGCTTGTTCGTAGATATCAGGTTCAGTGACTGAAGCACCCGTCAGCCTTTCTTGGCAAACACCCTCAAGACTTTCAATGCAGGATCTTCAAGAAGACTCTTTGGGAGCTCGGGACATTCAAACTGGAGTCCCCAAGGCTCGTTAGACTTTGGCAGCAGACAGATGTTTGTCGCACCGAGAGTCGCCCCTTTGCCCATGTAAACATCCCCACTGCAGTTTCGCCTGGGCTTCCTACGCAGGAGTTCGTGCACGCGCATTTGATGACCATCCTCCAGCAGCCTGTCCCGGGTTTTGAGCCAGGTGGTTCAAAGCTTGCGAGCCATAAAAAATGAAACCATCAAAGGAACTAAGTGGGCTGCAAAGAGGAAGTGCCCCTTTGATGGGCTTGCAGCCTCGGAAGCAGTGCCCGACCCATATTTGGATTCCGGGACAACCAGACCCCTCTGATTGCTGCTTACAGAGCCGAGTTTGTCAGGATTCCCGATGCATTGGGCCCCAAGTGCCATGGAATGTGTGTGTGTGTGCTGAGTGCTCCAGTTGCATGCCGCTTCCTTTTTTTGTTTTGTGGCACTCTGCTTCAGCATCGCAATGACCAGTTAACAGCGAGCTTCATTCAGCTTGGCGCTTTCAAAAGGCAAGTGGAACCTGGTTGTTCTCAGAGTCCCTGAAGAAAGAAGTGAACCATCTTGCAGTTCCATTGGCTTGGGATTCGGAGCCGCTGATGATTCCCTACTGAGAAACACAAGGAGGTGCATTGTTCTTTTCGCGAGTGCGGGGAGCAATTCGAAGCCGTTTCTCGGAACTTTGGACCATCAGCTTGAATCGAGGTCTTTCAACGCAAAAGGTCGGTTTTTGAAAGGTTCCCAGCCATCCCCTTAGGTCTTCTTTTTTCTTTCTGGGGCTTGGTGCTAGCTTCCAGGGGAGAAGCGACCAACGGTTTGGGCTCGGTCGGTCGCAAGGCCCTTCAACGAGCAGATGCAGAACCTGCAGGAAGGTCTCCAGAAGGTGACCCTGCAATCAACCGGCACTGCTGCTGAGGCGGGAAAGAAAAAAAGGGGCCCTTGAAACGAAGTCATGGTGTAGGTAGCTTTCCTGTCTAGGCTATTGGTAGAATTTTGGTTGCTTGTGTGATTGTTTGGTTTGTCTGTTTGGTTTGTTTGTTTGTTCGTTCGTTTGTTTGCTTGCTTGTTGGTTTGTCTGTTTGCGTGTTTTTTTTGCTTGAGTGTTGGCGTGTTTGTTGGTGTGTTTGTTGTTTGTTTGTGTTGCTTGCTCGTTGGTTTGTTTGTGGGGTTGTTTGTTGGCGTGTGTTGTGTTCCTGTTTGTTTGCTAGTTGGTGTTGTGTGTGTGTGTGTTGGTTGCTTGTGTGGTTCTTTGTGTGTGTGTGTATTGATTGTTTTTGTTTGTTTTTGTTGTTTGGTTTTGTTTTGTTTGTTGGAGTTGCTTGCTTGCTTGCTTGCTTGCTTGCTTGCTTGCTTGCTTGCTTGCTTGCTTGCTTGCTTGCTTGCTTGCTTGCTTGCTTGCTTGCTTGCTTGCTTGCTTGCTTGCTTGCTTGCTTGCTTGCTTGCTTACTTGTCTCTGTTTGGTTGTGTCAGGGGCCCTTTGTTCCAGAAGACGGGGCAAAACGCCGGACGGGTCGTGGGGTGTGCTTTTCAAACGAAGGACGCACAAAACTGTGGACGGAGAAACTCCTGCACCAGTTAGGTGGTATTCCCGGTATTCGTAGGGTGTCATCCAACGCATCTGTTGCGAGGCGGACTTTGTCCATCCTCAGAAGGCCTGCTTGGGATCAACTTTGAAGTGTGCCTTTGCCTCAGGTGACAAGGCACCGAGAGCAGATCTCCACACATCACAAGATGATTGCAGCCTTTGCCGCTGGGCGCAGGGGAGTTTAAGGGGGGCGCAATTTTATTCGAAATGTCGTGTTCGCTTCGCCTCTCAGAGAGTTGGGAAAAGACAGGCGCCGCAGGAACCACACAAAAAGGGGGGCGCACGGTAGGCAAGGGGGACATGGTTTCTGGTAGGGAGGGTTGACGATAGTATGTGCATGTGAGTCTGTGTCCCACTTGGCCCGGAACTGTGGGCGTTCCTAAGCAGAAACTGGCTTATTGGTTGATGCTTCCCGCATCGGGTTCGCACTGAAGCACAGGGGGTCTCAATCAGTTGCGCTGCACTGTCCAGATCGTTGGTGCCTCAAAATGTTTGCAAAGAACACGTTCGAGAAGCTAGTGCAAATGTGGGGATGGTCGCAAGAGGCTGTTCTCTCTCTTTTCAGGTGCTATCGCCTTTGCTTGCTGGCTCGGTGTTGTTCCTCTATTTTCCTCTATGGCCTTCCACAGCCAACGTGGAACCTTGGGCAGGGACAGAGTCCATAACTTGTATTTCAACTTCTGTGGGTTGCTTATTGACATGGTCTGTTGCGTTTGTTCTGCCATTTGCTCGAAAATGCTGGTTGCATTATGTGTCTTGACCTCGGGATTTACATGCTCGCATGTCACTGGATCTTGCCCTTCCACCAAGATGGAACCTGACAAGGAGGTCCCTTCAATTGGAAGTTGGCATTGCAGGTGCTCCTCTAAAGGTGTGTGGTGGATGTGAATCGCGATTTCCACCGAATTTTAGTTGGATGGGGCTGGTTCACTTGCAACAAAAGCGAGGGAATCAGTTCAGCGCCCTCAAATTCCCTCCTGTTTTTTTCTCTTGCTTAGAATCCTTTCAGTCCCTTCACCTCAAAACGGCCGTGTTTTGTTTGGCTCAGGTCCCTTGGGTCGTTGCACCTCACGGCTTCGTTTGGGGCGCCGGGCTGCGATTTTCGTCTTGTCGCTCGGCCGTCCGAGGACAAAACGACGGAGGAGCTCTCCGGCGCCTTGCAGGAGCTGCAGAAGGAGGCGGCGTGGGAAAAGTTGGAAGGCGCCCCCTCGAGGTGTCGAAAAGTACCATTTCCCGCTGGACTTGGAGCTTTTTGGGAAGACCATTGTACTCTAGTAGTGGTGCATGATAAAGTTTGGAGTGTTGAGTTCCGGCTCGGACTTGAAGCTTTTTGGGAAGACCATTTTAGTGGTGCATAGTTTGGACTTTTTTGGGGCCATCCACTCGGGAAGTGAGATTTTCTGAAGAAAAATGTTGTTTATTTTCCCTTGTTGGCTTCAAAGGGGATTTGAGACTTCTGGACTTATTTCTATTTTTCGCAGGGGGCGTAAGCAATGGACGTTTACGGTTCTCCACTCACTCGGACCTTTTTTTGCAGGAAGAACACTTCTGTGGCAAGCAACAAGTTGGGAGTTTTTCTGGCCAATCCACTCAGGACATGAGTCAGTCGCGGGTGAGTTCAAAGAATTTGCCCATCACTTCGGAATCCGGGGCTCGCTACTTGGAGGAACCCCCCACAAAAAAAACACACACACACAAGAAATGAAGATTGATCGTGTCCTTAAAGGGGGGGTCCCATTTTTTGGTACGGTCCAGATTCCAGACTCGGAAGTTCACAGGCGGATTCGAGTGTCGGGCTTGGGGTCTTCAGGACGCGGAAATGGGCAATTTGGGTTTTGAGCTTGAGTTGGGTTGGATAACCTAGGTCACCACAATGGTCCTATTAGGGGATCCCAAATATTTCGCTTTGTAGATTTTGGAGAAGAATCTAAAGCTGGGGCCCAAATCGGGGTGTAGAAAAGTATCCCTTTTAGCGAGTTTTGGTTTGTGGCATAATGTTTTGCCCCTCTACGCTAACTCTGGATAGCGAAGGAGCAGCGGACACTATCAACGAACTCAGTCCAGTTCGGCTTCCTTTGCTTCAAGCAACAACGTTTTCGCATCCCATTTGGCATTTTCCGGGGTCATGCGTCATGCATGACTTAAGGCCGATGCTGGACATGCCACACACCACCTGCAACACAAGTTTTGCCTAACAATTGCAGCGGCAACTGGATCCAATGGGCAGGTTTATAAGCCACTAAGTCCGCCTGGGATAGATGTCATCCGGCCTGTTGCCCTTCCCAGGAAACGCCCTTGTTAGCGCCAGAGCTTTTCATTCAATTTGCACACTGGCGGCAAGCCAAGTTGACACATTGCGCATGAACTAGGCCATCTTTACGGTTGTAGGATGGTGTTGCTTGCCTGTATGGGAGGCCACTGTGAATAAATGGCTCTGCCCTTTTCTTTGGTTTTAGGATCTTGTCGCATGCTTTTCAGAATGTGACAATGTGTTTTCTTTTCCTTTTTCCTCATTTGGTTATTCCCTCCCCCCCCCCCCCCCCCAGCGCAAATTGTGCCATCTACTTTGGCCCCAAGGCTTGGTTTTTCTCGAAGTAAGACGATGCACAGTGGCCAACTGATCGGTTCAGGTGCGAGTGGTCAGCAACAAGCACGAGGCCTTGTCCCGAGACCACTACCAAGTGAAGAACTCCCTGGAAGATGCGGCCCGGGCCTTGGAACCGATTCGAGCAATCCGAGAGTTGCCTTGGGGGTAACAATGTGTAGGTCCGCCATGGAGATTCTCGATTTGGCCGTGGGTCCACACCAATGGCACCATTTAGGGGTAGGTGCATCACTCATTTGAGTCTATAGTGGGGATTGGGATGCTGACTGGGGGTACGATTTGGATTTGCTTCTGGACACATGGTAGAATTTGTGTAGGGAAGCTCCCAGCTGTCCCTGGGATTCGGCAAGTGGCAAGCTGTGAAAGCAGACAGCTTTCAACACGTTTCCTTGGTGAAGCGGTGAAGAAGAACCGATACTCCACATTTCCCATCAGCAAAGTGTATGTCGAGTTGTTGTACGCGCGGTTTTTTGCCTGGGTGTATCCGAAAGTACAGTACTTGAATATTGGCTCTTTGGAATTGTTCTCAACGGCTTGTAAGAAAGCCTTGCACGTCTCCCATGCAAGCGCATCAGCCATTTCGAGGTGGAGTTGCCGCAAATTCCCCCCCCCCCCCAGCCTACTGATCCGCTGCCAGCCTATTTGAATGAGGAGTCTGAGCACGTTTATACTAGTCTGATTGTTTTCGGCACCCTGCTCAGGCAAAACAAACAGAAATCCATAATGTGCGGGTGCACATACACCATATAAACATAGATATGTATATGTATACATATATACAGATACACTTGGGTCTTCCATTCTGTGCGAGATCATTGCTGTTTTGGAAAAAAAACTATGTTTTTGATCAAGCAGCATTTGGTTTCGCCTGTGGGCATTTTCCAGTGTTTGCACACTTTGGCGTAAATCAAAAGCCTGAAACGCCGCAGGGTGCCGCCAAAACGTGAAAACGGCGTAATTGTCTACCCGTGACGAGCTGGAATCACAGAGCCGTTGCTTCCGCCAAAGAGCGTTCTTTCTGAAAATATAGCTGTTTCGGGAAACAGCGTTAATTTTACATGCGGGATGTTCCAGGTATACTCCCAAGTCGCAACTTGCCAATTTATTTCTTTTCCAACCTTTTAATCAAGCTAGTTGTTTTCAGGTTCCCTCGTCTTGCCAAGTGGCCCACTTGTTCAAGTCAACGTCAGAGAACTTGCCGCAGGAGTCCCGGCTTCGGAGCGCCACCGCCCAGATCGAGGCTTGCCCAAGCCGACCTTTTAGCCTTTGGTCTGGCATGGTTGATGGAACGGCTTGGGGACTTGGGGACTTGGGGGCTACCGGATTTGTGGCTTGGTGGAGCCTTTGGAACCACCCCACCGCCAAACCGGGCTCCGAACCACGAAGGAAGCTGACATGCGGACAAGGGACTTTGTACGCTTCCGTGTTTGGTGGGTGGGTGGCGTTGATTGATGAGTTGGATTCGTGGTTCTAGATTTGTCCCCGGCATGCTGACTTCGCAGTGTCAGAGCAAGTGTCCTGAACTTTTTGCAGAGCTGGATGGGATGTGGTTGTTTGTGTCAGTCAGTTGCAGTAGGATGGACCTCGGCTTTTTGTGCTTGAGCTTTGCTGTCTCGGCTTGAACTAAACGTGTGCATGGTTGAGCAACAAGTTGGTTGCGCATCATCTCGAGTTTGCACAGCTTTCTCCCCGTCGCTATTCATGATTCCTCAGTTTGCCCAGGAACTGGCTTTGGGCGGTTCTCATGCCTTCGTGTGGGGCCATGTCTCGCTTGGTGCAAGCAAGTTTGGCGGTTGGGAATCTCTGGCGGCATTTGCAGAGGGATCCTGGAAGACAATCTTCCTTCAAACGGACCTCCTATCAGGTTCCATGTTAATTGGTGGGAGGCTAAGTACAAACTCAAGTGGCAACCAGACGGCGGACGGGATGCGGCCAGGACCTCTTCGGCGGCCAGACGGGCGTAGTTGCACAACTCGAGCGGCTGAACACAGGCGGCCGAATTCCGAGTGTAGGAACCAGGGAAGGGAACAAGGAAACAAGCCACATGGCACAAGGAAGGGAACATGCAACATCGTTATTGTAAATGGGCCCAAGAAAAATGGGGAGCATACAGTGGATGGACCAAATGAGTTTGGCACCAGTTGGTAGATGCTGTATCCCAGGGGTCAGCCATCCCAGCAGTGGCGTGGATTTTGTGCATCCACATGGCGGATGCTAATAACACGCACCCCCCGGATTGCCAGCTCACTTTGCTCCAGGCGAAGGATCCTGAAGTGTTGCAAGGGAACAATGGAAGCCCTTTAGACTCTCACAGTTCTTGGTTGGCTTACTTGCAATATATATATATACACATAGGGCTTCTTTGCCAAAAACAGCGAGAGAAAGAGAGAGAGAGAGAGAGAGAATGAGAAAGAGAGAAAGAGCCAGAGAGAGAGAGAGAGAGACAGAGAGAAAGACACAGAGACAGAGAGAGATAAAGATAGATGTAGAGGTCCCCGAGTTTGTCACCCGCGCAATCCCATGTTAAAATGTGCGTGTCGTACGTATTGAAGCCGATTTATGCCGTTTGGCTTAGCTTGAACGCCCTTCTCCTCTTCGTATTGTGTTCCTTTTTGGTTTATCTCTGTTTTTTGACTCGCTTTCCTGCTGCATTGTTTTGCAATGAAGCCCTAAGTTTGGATTGTTTGTTTAGTCAATTTCCCAAGTTGCCACTTCAAGAGTGCTGCCAAAGGTTACATGGCTTCATCACGAGTAATCAAGCCTTCATTGAGAATCATGGCGCTAGAAAGGCTGAAGGAACAGTTTGGGGGCTTGGAGGGGGTCCTTTTGCCAGTTCCTGTTGTTCTGCCTCCAGGTTTAACGGGCCCCAGTGCAGGCACGGTTGGAACAAGGATAGCCTTGTGGCGGTTTTGCGGTTTGTGTGACACGGCCCTGGTACTTCACGCGTTCTCCCGGAAAATCGGGCCCCGGGCCACCCCGGGCCACCCCGGGCCCGGGCCTTTCAGGGCTACTTTGGGCAATACCAACGCAGAGTTGGACATACGCTAATAGATATATAAGTGCTATTCAATCTGGAAGAGGCGAAATCCGCAACTTTACAGTATGCAACAATGCTCATGTTAGCTGGCAGCAAAGCACTTGTCAAGTGCGGCTGAGCATGTTTGTGTTGTTTTGGAGAACCGTCAAGAAATTGGGCCTTGTAGTTGGAAAGGCCGGCAGACAGATCACAGGTATTCCAAGGGCAGGTGGATTGCTGGGGGGGACGGGAGCTTCGTAGTGGGGGGGTCCACTTTCATACAAGTTCCATGGCTTCCCTTGGTAAGCGGAAGCCAACGAATATAATCAGGCTGGTTTTCTCTCAACCACCCGCTGTCGGTGAGCGAAGCATAGCGGGCACCAAAAAATGCGATCTTTCGGGTAGGCCTCGCGGACATTGAGCAGCACGTGGGCACCGTGGTGGAGAGCAGGAGCCGAAAACCGACCGAGAAAAAGAAAGAAAGTACAGTTGGCACTACTATTTTGGTTTACCCGCCCCTTCTACTTGCCAGTGAGGTAATTTTTAATGTTTACGTTCACCCTAGGCCCTAGTTTAAGCCAAGGCGGCATCCTCGACAGCAACTCCGCAGCCCCAGCCCAGAGCCCCAAAATTGCCAACCGGCCGCTCTGGACCACCTGGGGCCAAGGTCCCGGAGCTTTGCTGTTGGGAGTCGGGAGTGGAAACACGGGGATAAACGGGGTGCATGGTCTCATCCGCAGGCTGAATCACTTGCATGGCTTTTGCCGTGACATCCGCACCGAGCAGACCAACCTGTCGGAGGCGGTAAGACACTGGGCTGCACTCAGCCCAAGAAGTCTTCTCGACAGAGCCGAGGGCTCCAGCGGTTGACTTGAGTTCTGGGTCAGAATTCACTTCATAAAGAACACTTTGAGTGGGTAGCTGTTGGTTTAGTAAGAAAGTCCCACCATGGCTCAACCGCAGTTAGGGCGGAGGCGGTGTTGACGGTTTCGGATTGATGTTTTTTTGTCCGGGAGGCAGGGGGTGCTTCCCAACAAGACGGGTTCAACCCAGACCGTTTCTCCTGCCTTTCAGCCCAGCATCTCGCGCCTAGGTGACTGCCAAACCGACATCCACCGGAACCAAGAGAACATCAAGCAGCAGCAGTCGAAGATTGTGGCAAGACAGGCTTGGGGAAGTTTTACAGGGCAGCCAGTGCAACACTTCCATAGACTTTGATACGTGCCAGGCTCCATTTGTTTTGGTTGCGCGCATGTGTGTGTGGGTGGGTGGGTGGGTGGGTGTGTGGGTGTGCGGGTGTGCGGGTGTGCGGGTGTGCGGGTGTACGGGTGTGCGGGGGTGTGCGTGCGCGTGCGTGTGCGCGTGCTCGTGTGTGCGTGTGCGTGTGCGTGTTCGTGTGCATTAGGAAGTCCGGCTTGCTTGCTTGCTTGCCTGCCTGCCCGCCCGCCTGCCTGCCTGCTTGCCTGCTTGCCTGCTTTGCCTGCTTGCCTGCTTTCTTGCTTGCTTGCCTGCCTGCTTGCCTTCGTGCCTTCTTGCTTTGTTTGCTTTTTCTTGCCTTGCCTTGCCATGCTTGCTTGCCCTTGCCTTGCCTTGCCTTGCCTTGCCTTGCCTTTGCCTTGCCTTTGCCTTGCCTTGCCTTGCCTTGCCTTGCCTTGCCTTGCCTTGCCTTGCCTTGCCTTGCCTTGCCTTGCCTTGCCTTGCCGTGCCGTGCCGTTTGCTTGCTTGCTTGCTTGCTTGCTTGCTTGCTTGCTTGCTTGCTTGCTTGCTTGCTTGCTTGCTTGCTTGCTTGCTTGCTTGCTTGCTTGCTTGCTTGCTTGCTTGCCAGCTTTCTCGCTTTCTTGCTTTCTTGCTTGCTTTCCTGCCTGCTTGCCTTCTTGCTTCGCTATCCATGCAAGTTAAGATAGGTATCAACCGTTGCTGCTGACAAATTCAGATTAGTCTCGATAAGACAGCTGGATTCCAGGTCAGTGTCTGAAAGTGCCTTCTGAGCATCAATTCTTTGGAGCATCGCCCTACCCACATGCCAGGAAGATATCCTTTGCAGTGCCATTGCGAGTTTCCTTTCTGATTGCTGCTCCTCAATAGGACTGTAGCCAATTTGTTCGCACCTTTGGTTCTCATTGTTCATCAGTACCACCATGCCACCTATTGTTCCAAAAGGACTCCTCATTTGCGAGTACCAAAAAGGACGTGAACAAAATGAGTGGCTCTTGACAAAATTCGCTGACCAGGGCGAGGACGACGAGAAGTTCGCCTGCCTCAGCCAGCACCTCGCGTTTGCCATACCAACTAGCATTGAACTAACACCCTCCCTCCCACCAAGTGCATTACAGTTTTATGCGGAAGGTGAGTATCCTCTTGAAGTGACCTCCAGTCAAGTGCCGGTGAGGGTAGTGGGCAAACCAGCGCTTTTCCAGGGCTGGTCCCGGGTCCCCGAATTTGTTGGTTGGCAGCTCCCATTTGAAGCCACGGCTGGGGGTGATGCACGGAAGCCTTCTCGCCCAGACGGAACCGAAATGAAGCCACCCATTTTTGCGCTCGATTTTGAGACAAACGTATTTCCTCTTTTGCAAGTGAACATGTCTTGCGCCCTGCATTCGTTTCATGGCATTTTCAGGGTTTCCTTCTGACCCAATGCGTGTGTGCGGGGTCCATGTAATGCCCCGAAGAACCGGTGCGACACATGAAATGGAGGTGCTTTGGCGTAGGAAGGTAGCACATTTGTATTTCTACATGCACATGTGCACAGATACATATGCTTCTCTCAAAGCGGCCAGGCTTGTCTCTAGATAAGGCACCACTAAGATTGGCTTCCCTTTTGGCTTCTCTGAAGCCCACAAGGGGAGGTCCCCAGGCGAGTTCCATAAGGCCCGGCCCCAAGGCACGCCAAGGGCTTTGAGGCGAAGCTGAGCCAATTGCTGGCAGACCTGAAGAGTACCGATGAGGTGGCCAAAGCCACCGAGAAGGACGGCCCGGGTGGGGCCATGGCCACTTTGGCCCCCATTAAAAAGTCAACAGGTGACAGCCCCCTTTGTATTTCAGTTGCCACACCCCACCGTGCTGGATAACATATAAGGGACAAGCCTTCCTTTGCTTGTCGAACATGTCCAGTTACGCATGCTTCCGGTTTTGAATGGGTCCCCATGAACATGACATGACCGACAAGTATGTGGAGTCAAGCAGAAAACAGTTGATCCTATGGCCTCCCCTGACCCCTGGGGCACCAGCCAAAAGGCCTCCCATCAGCTTCGGGCCTTAGGAGACCCAGCGCGCGCACATGGAGGTGGCCAAGCTCCGGTCCACGCAGCAGCTCTACGCGGAGTACTCGGAGATCTTCCTGGCGGTGAAGGAGAACTCCCGGAGAGCGCCTCGGATCGATCCAGTTGGCCAGCTGCACGGGACGGGACGGGGTCTGCGCGGGGAGAAACCTGGGCTTTGGGATGCTTCATGATGCTTAGGGAGGGAAGTTGCCCTCATTCCGCTTGGAGTTTCCTGTGCTTTGGGAGGGAAGTACCCCTAAAACAAGGGATCGATGAATTTGGACGTGAGGCAACTAAATGTTTCCCACTGGGCGCGAGGAGTTTACATCTAGGATCTGCCTTCATGGGTTTCTCATAGAAACCAGCTACAGGAAATTATACAGGAAGTTCGGGGTTTCCTATAGAATTTCCTGCAGTTAATTTCCCAAAGTTTCGAGCTCAAGGATTCCGGGGTGAGGTCTTGATGTAGATCCTTGACTAGTTTTATGACATGGAACAAAAATCTGACAGGGGTTCAGACCATTTCTCTCAACATGTGGCCTGTTTTCTGTGTTGTTTTCTTTTTTGAGTTTAAATATGGACCAGAATCTATACGACTTTTGATTGGGGCTCCAAAGCTGAAGCAAGGATCCATACCTTTCATTTCCGTATACTGCAGCCTCCCTTTGTATTTGCCGGGTTCCCAAACATCCGATCAACCAAAGGTCCAATTCTTTTCTACGGTCATCAGACAAGCGGGGTGGGTTATGTGCAACCGCCTTGGTTTCGTTTCTAGCTCCAGCAGGCGATGCATGGATTACTTGGTTTTAGTCCCCCACCTGGCAAGGGCTAAGTTGGCGCACGCCATGTTTTTTGTTCCCTTGAAAGGTAGGGATAGCTTATTGCTACTCGCCAGACCTGTTTCAAGTGCTGGGCTTCATGCTAGATGCACCATGTTTTTTGACGCACGGGTCAAAATATTTGGTTTGCGGTGCTTGGCATACAGGTGTAGGTTGAGCTGGGTATGTCTATTCATGCGGTGCGTCTTGTTTGCATTTTCGGGGCTCCAAAAAACGATTCCATGTTTCGACCCACCAGGTGAGCCATAAATAGCTGCGGCCGCTTTCTTAATTCTTTACATGGTTCTGGGTAATTAGGCCATTTTAGTACCAGGTTTTGATTCTGGCCCAGGTGGGGAAGCTGGAAGACACCGTGCAGTTGATGAACTCCCGAAACCCCGTGGAGATCAGCATCTTCCAGGCAGATCGCCGAACGCCTGGCCGATGGATTGGGAGGCTAAATTGGATGCATCTCATGTCAACTTGGGTGCATTTTGCTTGGATGTTAGGACTTTAACTTTTGGCCAACGAATGGGTTTTCCACTAAACCACTAAAAGTTAAACTTTTTGCATGGGAGCAGAAAGCAACTGAGATGTTGTCAACATTGGTTTGACACAAATTTGCTGGCTTCAGTCGTTTCAGCGCTGTGGGGGTGGGAATTTGGAAGAATTGACGCCGCCGCACGATTCAACCTTCAGCCCCTTTTTCGAAGTCGCAAATTCGAAAGAGCCACTTCTGCATCCTGGATGCACCCTCGTCCCTGTTGCTTCATACAGGCGCTTCCTTTTTCTCTTGCATCCCAGACCACGCTGGTGAAAGTGTCACGCGCTGCCGTTGTCAAGGCAGAGCTGGAGTGAAATAAACATTACATCTAAAGAAACTTAGTAGTAGTCCCCTACCAGTGCGGGGTCGCTGGCAGCAACTGGGCAGCCAGGGGTTGCCGAGTCCTCGCCTTGCCGCCTGGCAATGAAAGCCCTCTTTGTGGCCTTTGCGGCCTCGGGCAACGAGGAAAAGCTGAAAACGGCGCGGCGGCTGGGCAGGACACGATCCAGAAGATCCAAGCACAAGTCGATGACAACGAGACCAAGATCCAGTCGGTGGATCGCTTTCAGGCCTTCAAAGTGTGAAGGGTCGGGTTTCCGCGGGTTTCGGCATGCGGCTTCCACATTGGTGAAGGTAAATGGTTAGCGCTTCCAGGTTCAATCGATTTTTTTGCTGATCTTTGCCCAAGGAGCTCAGGTTAGCTTTGAGTTGAAAACCACATGGCAAACTCACCGAAACAGAGGTCCCCTCAGCAAAGCGCTCTAAGGAGTATTAATGCCAACATATGCCAACAGTTCGACCAGGGAGCCAAAAGAGCCTAGGCCATCCTCGCACACCTGCCAAGAGCAACACGAAGACCCCCACCGAAGAACTAGGAAGACGGGGAGGACACACAGAGACACACAGAGACACACAGAGACACACGCACACGCGCACACGCGCACACATACACACGCGCACACACACACACTTGGCGAGAAGATCGACACGACAAGAAAGAACGCCAGGCAAAGCAAGCAAAATCGACTCCAATAGACAAAGACAGAAATTGTACCCAACAAGAGGAAAAGCTATCCCGAAGGGGCTGGCAGGAAGAGCACGAACAAGCGGATGCAGAGTAGCGCGAAGTAGAGACATCCTGCCAGCCAAACAGGCAACACTTTGACATTTAATTTACTTGGAACGGATGCACCCAAGCCGACAAGGCTTGCCAGCGTTTGGCGTTGATTGCAAGCGGCAAAGCCAATGCCGGAGTCTCTCAATAGGAACGAGGCCACGCAGTGTAGGGTGAACCGCTGAAAGCTCCCTGGGGAGTGAGAGCCACGCAAAACATTGAGTCAGAAAGTCGGGTGGGGTCCTTGCGTTGGAGCAAAGGCAAGCTGCAAATATCCAGCACAAAGGCTTCACCGGGCTTCACTGGGCTTCCCTCTTGGTGCGAAATCAGCCAAGCAGGAACAGGCTTCGGCACGTCCCACTACTCGCCAGCTGTTTGACCATCGTCACGCTGCCTGGGCCACTTTCTGCGTCAAAAGGTTCGTTCCAGGGCAAATCTGGAACTCGTCACGCACACACACACACACACATATGCATGTGGGCAATACCCTCGGCAAAAAAAGCCAAGAAGACAAGGGAACTCCCTTGAAAGTGATGAATTGTTTGGCTTTGGATGCTCCATGGGGTAATTTCCATGTGGCCGACCAAAGGCGCACTCCAACGGGAGGAGGGGGCTGGGGGGGCTGAGGCCTCCACCACGGTGCGTTTGGACTCCCTGGGCCGCTCCATCGACGGCTTCGGCTCGGAGATCAAGGGCCTGGAGCGCCGCTGCGGCGCGCCTTGCTTGGAAATTCTGTGCTAGTGCTGGGCTAGGTCCCCCAGCTTGGTGACCTTTCTCACCCCTTTTTGGGTTGGGAGGGTTCCCCTACTAAAATAGGCTACAGAAAAAAAGGTACCCTTATTCTAACCTCCAAAACTGGAGGACCTAGTGGGACGTCCTTTGGTGAAGCGAAGCCACCCCCAAACCAACAAATCAGAACAAACCACCGGAAGGGGGAAGGCTTGGTTTGGTCAATTTTCTGACATTCGCGTTACCCGAAATTCCCGGTTGGTTGGAGGGTGTTTTGGACGACTAGACGTGGTCAACCCTATTTTGTTCGACCAGGGTGACTTGGGCATCGGTGCATTGGGCTTGCATCTGATGTGGGAGGGCTTTCTTTAAGATCAAGCCACCGAAAAGAGACGACTAGGCTCAAGGCAAATGGCCTTCCAAGAGTCCCGAACACATTGGCAGATCAGAACATGTACTGAAGATGTAGGGGCAAACATGATTTCCAAAAAGAGAAGCATACGCCCTTCCTTGTCCAAAAGCGCTGTACAGTGCCTTTGGCGGGCGCGTTGGCTGTTTAAGCTCGGGTACCTGTGTTGTTTTGCCATGTTTTGCCAATGCACTTCTATGATTGGAGGGGTTGAACATGTCACACCCAGTAGTATCAACTTTGATCCTGTTTGGTTCCTTCGGTGAGGGTGTGTGGCAGAAGAATTTGCACGTGCCCAGCTTCCAATAGACCATAGCGCTCCACAACTCACTTTGAATCTGCGGGCAATTTCCCTTGAGGCCAGGACAGCGCGATCTTGGGAATGTGCCAAGCAGAAAGCCTCAATGAAGATCTCATCGGAAGGGTTTCCTTATGGGTTGCTAGCTCATAGGTTTCCACAGGAAAGGAAAAAAAGGACCAAGTCAGCATCGCATGGGTCACAGCCTCAGGCCCTGGATGGTGACATCCAAACGCTGCAGCTTTGGCAGCTCCTCGGCCGCCTTTGAATCAACGCCGAGGCGATACCCTGCGTAGGTTGCGATATGGTAAATGATCGACCTATCGCAAGTAGCCAAGCAGGAACCACGGAAAGCAATTTCAACAGTTGAGAAGGAAGTAAAGCCTGGTTCTTCAAGCCCTGCTTGCACCTTGCTCCCTCTCCCTACCCTTGTAGCCTATAGCTAGGCAATGCTAGGCATCTACGTTCTATGTTGCAAGAGCCCCCGCATGGCCCCGTAATCACGCATATGACATAGAGCCTTCGTATGTGCATAGCGAGCCTGTGCCAACCCCAGCCCTTATGCAGTCGAGCCTACTCCAAGTCAGCAGCTATTCTGGCCACTTCGCGAAGGTTTGCTTCCCTTGCAAAGTGGGAATCATGCATCTCTAGCAGCGAAAGCTATCATGCATCCCGCAAATATGTCATTTGGCTTATGTCGTTTCATTCATTTACCAATCTCACGTATACATATATATAGTTTCATTGTTTTGCTAGGCTACATAGGTTGATCCAGGGCAACCCTGCACCATGAATCGGGCGCTTGGCGTCCCTTATCTATCCAAGGCATGGCGCCACGGAGAAGTTCGAGGAACACACGTTGCGGAACCTGCAGAACAAGGGCGACCTCCAGAAGCTCCAGGCCCTCGGGTTTGAAAAGCGCGTGTGTCAGGGGTCCCCTATATTTCAAAGAATTTTCCTTTCTGGTGGTTTTACACATCACCTTTGTGGCCCATGAAAGGTGAGTGTCGCTTGGTGGGGGTGATGTTTTAAGGGGAAATATAGGGAGCCGTGTGTGTAGTAGCCTGATCCCTCCCGAGGCGGTGGTTGTTTTCAAGGGTGCCTTGTTTGCTTGGTGCAGGAGGTTTTTTGAGGGTGGTGTTGTTCTGTTAGGCTCTTTGGAGGTTGCTTGAAAGGGACAAAGCATGTAAGAACCCCTTTTTGGGGAGGTCGCCCAGGTTAACACACACACACACACTGAAAGCTTGCCCGACGGCCAGTAGCCAGTCAGCCGAGCAGAAAAAGTTACATGGGGTCCCTTGAAACAACCGGGCAGTGAACCAATCACCAGCGGCCAGCGGACTTGGAGAATCCGTTGCAAAGTGGTTGGAAAGAAGCATGCAAGGGCAATGGCAAGAGCAAGCATGGGAAAGGTAGCAATCACAAGTCACACGCAACAGCGAGAAATAATATAAACTACTCAAGAGAACACATCGGGGCAATCAGGCTGAGTTACTTGCCATTGTGACTTCCTTTGCCTGTTCACGTTGAACATGTCATTACTTGTGCTTGCAAAGCCAGTCATTGACTCCTGGGGCCGGTGAGCGAGGATCATGTGCAATTTGACTAGTTGTGAAGCAGGACTTGCCTCTTCGAAAACCAGTAGTCATTTTCTAGCCCCCTTTTTATTCTCGCTAGAATAAAGGGGCTAGACTGACGTGTCGTATTCGAGTAACCCGTAGCCGCATTCTTCATTGAGTAGGCTCTGCACCAAGTTTGGCCGAGCCCGCCAGTTTTTGGTCCCAGTATGCGTTAGACCAAGGAGCTGTCAACTGGTGGTTTGGAGTTAGCTTTGAACCCTTGGGATTTGTACTGGGCAAATGGCCAACTCCCTGACCTCCAAACCACCAATTGGAGGGGAACTGGTTAAACCAGCTTGGGTTTTAACGGGAAAGCACAAAGGAAAACCATGAGCAGTCCCCGCTTTCCCCTTGCTGCAGGTAGATTTGGAAGCCAAAGGCGCGTGCGCCGGGGGGTGGGGGGGAGCTGTATGCAAGCCCCTGATGGTGTTGCATTAAGGAAGCCATCCTGCGGGAATAGCAAACGAAAGGCCGGGAAAAATAGGTCGAAGGTCTGTGTCGAGATACGTTTGGGGTTTGTCAATTCATGTCAATGCAATTTAGATGATCGGGATGTGGAGGCAGCGCCCAAGATGGTTCTTTTCGAAAAGGCTTGAGGCTTGAGGCTTGCATTTGAAAGGGAGGGAGGGGCAGGTGGCACGTTCTGTGTGGGCAGCACATCGGCGCCTTTTTCCCAGCTGACAAAATGGGCGTCGAGGTCCACGTGTGCATTTGGCACATTGAGGCACTGGGGTTCGTCTGAACTGGTTGCCCCTTCTCAAATGCTCTCGGCTGCTTTCTTCCAGCCAAACCCCCCCCCAATAGATAGCAAGAGGCCCAGCCAAAAGGAGGGTGACTTAATCCTTTTCACAGCTGTGGGCTGTGGGTCCTGGACCTTGGGCGAGCAGAGACTCAGTTCGGGTTCACTTCAGTTCCAACCAAAGTTACTTGCTCTTTGGGATTCCACGTCCTTTTTTGGGGCTTCCTTCAAAACAGGACGCTCACGAGGCAAGCGAAGCCTCGACTTCCTCCAATCACCCAAATCCTCAGATCGCGAGGTGGCTACATCATCGATCTGCGGGAAGAGATTGCCCTGGTGCAGCGGCTCGGACCCTCTTGCCGTGCGCCTTCGGGGTCGGCTGGTCGGCCTTGCTGAGCGCAGATGTGTGTGCTTTTGTTTGTTCAGCGTTGCGTTGATGAAACCCACGGTTGGTTTATCTTTTCACCATGTCACCGGTTGGTTCTTGGCCGTTATGAGGCGAACCGTCACCCGAATCGATGGGAATGTGGACGTCATGCAGCTGCTTGGCTGCAGAGAGCGGGTGCGTTGACAGAACACTGGGATTTGGACGCTTCTCATGCCTAAAGAGGCTCCAATTTGGCCTGGTCTCGGCTACCTAAGCGGTGAAAGCGGAGGTGTACGTGAGGCCTTCACCTGGCTGTTTCCCATTTCTGCGACAAATCCAGCAACAAAACGTGGGACAAGCCTTTCAAAACCAGCGAAACGGGCGCGAAAGCACGTCTGCCCGTTGGTTATACCACTCTTGTGATCACAGGGGAAGACACCTGTATCCTCGTTTGTGTTGTTCACCTCGACCCTTCACCGTTTGGGTCACTAGCAAAGTGCCGTTTGCAGGTTGTCAGTTGCTTGGATGACCACCACACTTCGGTTAAAGAACCGCAGCTAGTCAGTCTCATGAGGATCCTACTCCTACCACTTGAGGCATAAATCGCAAACAGGAAACTTGACCGCCCCTGGGCAGTCCCAGTGAGATCCAAAGCAAGCGAATGCCTTTCGATATCCCTAAGGCCAACTCGAGATCATGGAAGCAAACTTTCATCTTTAGAGGCATCCTCTTCGTCAGCCCTGGTGAGTCGGAATTTTCGTGGGATCGGCCAGGAAGTACTTCACGGGCTTCGGCAAGGGCTTGCAGGAAACCACGCGCTGCGTCTCCACTGGGGAGGTGGTCACCCCAAGGAACACCCCGCCTCGGCCGCAGAGCGCCACGGTGCACGCCACAGGCGGCTTGGCTTGGGGTGGGTGGTGAAAAGACGTGGATGGACGCATTGCTTTTGCAATGGAACCGCGCCTTTGGTTCCACAAAAGGAGTCCACTGCTGCAGTGGGATGGTTTTTGTTTTAATTCGGCTTGCGGCTTCTTCAAAAGAACTTTGTGCTTGGACAATGGTTGACCCAAAGTGGAACGAATCAGGGCAGGCGTGGCCCTGGAATGCCGTTATTTGTATTTGGCAAGCTTGAAACAAAATGTGTTGGTCACCCGGGGGTAATTAGGGTGAACATTTTGTTTCCCAAAGCCCAGCCAAGGTTGCAGTTCTGCTTTTTCTGTATTCTTTAGCAGCCATGACTCCAAAAATCCGAAAGGGTTTAAGTGTTGTTTCCAAGTTGTTTGTCGAACTTATCGTTTGTCTCTCTGGACTTTCTCAAAATGCTAGAAAGTCCACATGTTTAGTTGTGTTGATAAAAAAGAGTTGCTCTAAATCGAGTGATCCCTGCTTTTGAAAAATGCAAGCAAATCACTGGCACGCAAGCTCTTTTCTCAAGGTCAGGTGCAGGTTTCGTGGCAGACGTAGCATGTTCGCAAGGTCAGATACAGATTTCGTGGCAGGCGCAGCACTTTCTTGGCAGGCGCAGCACTTTTGCAAGGTGAGGTAGGTTTCGTGGCAGGCGGGCACTTTCACAAGGTCCAGTACAGATTATGTGGCAGGCGCAGCTCGCAAGGTAAGGTACAGATAGATAGACAGATAGATAGATAGATAGATACATAGAGTAATGGAAAGTAGATAGTTAGATGGTTAGATAAGAAGAAAAATACGGAAATAGATGGATAGACAGATGGATATATGGATGGATGGGTTAGGTTGATTAGATAGATAGATAGATAGACAAAGAATTGACAGACAGATAGATGATAGAGAGAGAAAGATAGAGACAAATAGGTAGATAGTTAGAGAGATATAGACATGGATAGGCAGATAGCTAGATAGATAGACACATAGGTAGGTAGATAGAGAGAGAGAGAAGCTTGATAGACAGAGCAATAAGAAATAAGATTGGTAGACATGCAGGTGTTTTTAAAATCTAGAGACCCTCACCTGAGAGGTGGGGGGAAAAAGAAAGCGCGCAGTGCCTGCGGAAGATTATAAATCTCTGCGCTCCACTATTGAGCCCAAGCGTCAACAGACGGGTAAGGAAGCCACCTTCTCGTGACATGATGTTCACTCTCACACATGCCGAGGGTGCACGCTTGCCTGGTGCCCTTTAAGGAGAGACTGGTGACCTAGTCCCCAAACGGGTTTCCACGCACCTTTCTTCGGGATGAACTCATTTCAAGAGTGCTTGTCAGGATCCCATGGGTTGTCAGCCGTCCCAAAACATGGTGTCGCTGTCTCAAACTGCTCGCCATCATTGCACTGAAAACCATCATCGGCCACATCGGCCTTGAAAGTCCACAGCGCATGTCCCTAAGTATCCGTCGGCCCGCAAGACCGGGAACCCTTGGTGCTCCAAACCAGAAACTCGATATTCGTAGCGGTACTCTGGCCTGTCGAAAAGTCTGGCCCTGCAGGACGCTCCGCAGCCAGCCCCGCGATAAGTCCAGCGCAGCACGCTCCGCAGCCGTGACTCCGCAGCCAGCCCCGCAAAAAATTCGGCACAGCACACTCCGCAGCCCCGGTATAGGAAGCAAAGGAGGCACGAGAGCACCTGAGGCACACAAGGAGACACTGAGGAAAAGGGGGAAGGGGGTGAGCAGGAGGCGCAGGAGGATGAGGATGAGGATGAGGAAGAGGTAGGAAGGCGACGCTGAGATAAAATCTAGAGGCCCTCACCCGAGAGGTGGGGAATAATACAACAACATGTAAACTAATATCCTAGTTTTTCACAAAAAATGTAAATATCTTCGCATCTACATGTGAAATCCCGCATCAATCAGGGTCCCGCCAGAAATCCTTGTGTTTGGCTATCTGTTAAGACAAGCGGCAACAAACTACGACATAGCTTATCCCATGTTCATATATTGGGCTTCAAAGTGGCTTGCCGATTGCATATGCCCCCTTGTTTTTCTGCATTCAGGTTGCCAGCCCTTTCTAGGTGACCCTTTGTTTGTGGTTTGGATTCGTGGCTTGGGGATTTGAAGCGCTGGTTTTTGTAGAATCAGCAAACCGCCCCTTAACCACCAAACGAACCCGAACCACAAATCAATGGAAGTTCGCTTCGGTCGGATCGCAGGTCTGCCTACTCTGCCACTCACAGGTAGCGGGTCCCCACCGAGGCGAGTCAAACCGGGTTGCCGCCAAAGGGGCCACGGGTAGCTCGGCTTTTCTTGAAACGAACGGTAACCTTATTGGGCCGGTTTTAAGGAGGAGCAAAAGGGAACCAGCCATTTGGGAGGGGGGGGGTTGGCAATCCCATATTTATGGGAAGGCATGTTTCCGTGTTTAGCACATCACCCAGCCACTGCATTGCCCCTTTGTGGGATGAGATGGTCCATTCTAGGATGTGCCATCCTGATCCGGCCGAAGTGGCAGCTGTCCAGCATCGACATCTAGTTAGATGTATCGTCTCGGTTATGTGAAGTTCATCAAGTGCGGACCCCCGCTGAGTTTCAGTCACTATCGCTGGCAAGAGGATTCTGGACCCATTTGAAACATGTTCTTGGGAACTTCCATTTCAGCCTTGGGAACAATTGATCTCCTAAATATTGACAGTGTGCAAAGCTGGTTCTTTTTGTGGGTTGCTTTGCTTTGGATGCCCAACTGTTCCGTGTGACCCAGTGGTTTTGAGCATGTCCCTGTGACGACTTGGAAACCTTGATTGATGCATTGGACCCTTTGTTATATTGTCATCGCCAGTGGTGGTTTTTGCGGCGGCTAAATGCCACACATGTTGGTTGTCGATGTTCTCTTGGCAACAGGGAAGCTCCTCGCACGATCCGGGATGGATCGATTTGAGCCATCCAAAGGATCGAAGGATCCTTTCGGCAGGCGTCGACCCTGGAGCTCCAAGGAGAACCGGACACGTGACCTGGAAGGCTTCTGAGGCGCTTGCGCAAACGCCAAGTCCTTGGCCACGGGTCAGAAGTTATCAGGCTTGGCACGACAGAAAGAAACCAGCAACTTGACTTGTTTCTCATATTTTGGGCCGTAGCTTTTCTTTCAAGTGTCTCCGAACACATAGGACCCATTCTATTTTGGACAGGTGTTTAATAGGCGAGGTGTCAATTGGCATCTCGCGGCCGGGCAGGGGCCAGCGAGCCTACCATTCACGCGCAGTGGAGGGCACGCGAAGACTCAGTCCCAATCCCGGCACGGTCCGATAGGTGGAACGCGCACACGCGCTCTTGGCCAAAGAACTTCGATTTTTCGGCTTCCACAGGGGCAGCTAGCAGCAGCTGTAGAGGATCTCCTTGTAAAGCAGGTGTTGTTTGGATGTATGAGGTATTTTCGAAGGAACCCTGTTTGAGGTGACATTTTGAGGAGTTGGCATCTATCTGATGTTTGGAATATGTTGGGATCATGACACGCACTGACACTTGTCAACGTATGCTAACATGCTGCTTCTATGGTCACAACTCAACTTGGCTTTGAAGTACCCTACTTTACCCAGCCTCATTCCTGGTACACGCAGGGGTTCAAGGGTGGGAAGCAACCAATGTTGGACGCCCATCCGTACACCCATGGCTTCGGCTGGTTTGTAGAGAACCTGCCCGGTTTCTGGACTTGGGGCACTGCTTGTTAGTTTTATGTTGTTCTTGTTTCTCCGCACCTCAACCTCCAATGAGTCCGAGACAATGCTTTCTTTGGCAGCCCCTAGTCACTTTGGCCAAGGGAGCCGGGTCTTGCAACAAGATCAAGATCGGAACGCGCTTTGGGTTCGGGCTCTGCAGCGGCTCAGATCCCCTTCACGACACGTTGACCACGGCCCCTAGGTCTTCCTGGCATAGCTTAAACTCTTTGGGCCGTCACGGAATTGAATTTGGGTGGATGAAGGCAAGGGATAGTCCCAACTTGTGATTATGACTCTTGGGATTTGCATGGCAAAGGCGCCGACCTGGAACAAAAAGCTTAGGTGCCAAGCATCTCCAACAATCCTTTGAACCCCTCTGAACCCCAAAAAGCACGGAGCCGCTGGAACCCTTGAAAACCTGAGAGAGTCAACACTTTCAGCGTTTTGAACCCTCCGAAAACCGAATCGGTTGAAGCCTAAAGGGCAACCGCTCTATGCAACACAACCCCCCCCCCAAAAAAAAAAGCGCGGAGTTTTTTGGGGACATGCCCATTGCTTCCGGAACCTGGAGCCTCCAGCCCTTCCAACCACTCCATCGGCACCCTTCACCCCCCGAAGCTGGGCAGCTTTCAGCTGTTCGGGCAAACCAAAATGCGCAGAGGGGGGGGGGTCTGAGTGATTTTTTAGTGTTTGGGAAGGGTGTGAAGAAAAGCTAGGAATTGCAACTTGAAGCTTGCCTCTTCAAATTTGCTCTTAGTTCCAGAGATTCAGCCCTTTGGTTTGGCCTTGAGGTGTAAGCCCACAGGAACCCCACGACAAGGGGCCCAGAAGGAGGTTTTTCTGAGCCCGGTTTTGGGGTTTTCCATGTGAATCTGCGGGAGGGTGCAGTTCAGCCTCAAACTTCAGCAGTGTTGTTCACTGGAGTAGGTAAGCCCTGTATACTATGGCTCCACGCTTTGTGGCTGGTGTGCTTGGAGTATTTGCGGAATTCATCGCATCCCGGGTGAAATGTGGCACTGGCGTTCAACCATGGCAGTGTTCTATCTACATCCCCCGATGTTTTACCCCCAAGCCGTCTTCCTACTTGGAATGATGCCTAGAGCCGCTCCCCCGGTTATTTGGACGGGGGCTGAACTGAAGCATAGCCTTTTAGATCGCGTCGAGCAGTGAAGCGCTGGCCTCGATGCCCTCTCAAAGCGGATGGACAGGAGCAGGCGGACATGTTTTTGTTCCATATTTTCTTGGTTCCTGGACCCCTCCAGGTTGTTTTGAAGATCGTGTGTGTTGAAACATAAGTTGAACGACAGTTTGAACGAATCGAGTCGGAGACCCTGATTTTGCAGAAGCAAGTGCAGTATGGATCTTGTGTGTTCAATACATGCTTAGGAGATTGTGCTTCTTGTCATGTTTTGCTGAACATCAGCTTTCATCTCTGTTTTTTTCTACTTGTTGAGACGTCGCTCGGTTAGATCCAGCTTGCATGATTGCATATGCGGCACCTTAGGGCCTTGGAAAGACAGCTTTACAGAGGGGCAAACAAACATGTTGAATAGTGTTCCATTTTCGCGGGGGGGAGGGCGGGGAGGAACAGTTGTCCAGGTCATTTCACACATGGGAAAGACTTAGCGCTAACACCCTCTCTATGAAAGGTATGTCTGGCATGAAGCCATGTTCATCGACTTCATACCTGTTCATGGCATCATCCTGCGTAAAATATGATTGTTCGACAGTACATGCACGTCCAACCTCATAACCACGCCATGGAATGGACTTTGGTAGGCTACTTTGCTAGCCTGAACTGGCAGTTCAAGGAAGCTGAAACTTCGATTTCGGGGGGCAAGGATCTTAAGGGACCCCCTTTGGAGTGCTTGCTGTTGCTTGCGCTTGTTCTCAGATCAGTTGCAACTTAGCTTTGATTGCCGGGCCAGCAAGGCCTGGTGCGGGTTTCCCCTTGGGAGGTTCACCAGACCGAGCGAGCGCGCAACTTGTTTGATGTGGGTAACGGGGTGACTAAACCAAAATGGGGGTATCGTGCCATCGTTCACCCAGCTGTGTGTCAAACTTGTCCCTAAAGTGACGAAAGGACAGGTCAGCCCAGGCCTTCCACCACAGCACGGGCCCCAAACTCGTTTGTGAGGCTGGCGCGGCAGTTTCTGCCCGCGCCGGTTGCAACTTGTGCGCCTGCGCCTGACAATTGGCTTGCCCACCGCTTTTGGGGCTGCGTGTGCTAAAGAGCACATGGCCAGCCAAACCTTTTCGATGTACTGGATGGTTTGCCGCAAAACCTCGCCGCAGAAGGCGTAGCAGAGCTGGGGACGCGTGATACACATTCGTGTGTGGAATCACCAAGCATAAGGAAGAACCCTAACCCAGACCACCGCAACAGAATGTCGATAGCGCCATGTGCATCGCAGCAACCTATCTTCGCGCATGAGATTTGCATGCCTGACATCCGCCCCTTTCCGTGCAGATGTTTGGTTGCAGCTCCTTGCCCGCCTGATTCACCATTGGTTGGCCATTTCTCCCATGTTGACCTTTCAGCGCAGAAGGTGTTTGCATTTGTGACAGCTTGGGAAGGCCTTAGATGGCTCTAGGACATAACCATGTCGCAGCATGTAGCACTTGGAATGCATGGTTGCGGTTGCGGTGTTGCCCGACCTTTTGCCCCGACCTTTTGCGTGATGTTGTTCATCCTTTGTTCCGCCAATACTAAGGTGTTGTTGGTTTAAAACCGTGTCCTCGCAAGAGTTTAATGTGCTGACCACAGCGACCGGGATCACCCCACCTTCTGTCTAAACAGAGTGGGCCTTAGAGTCTCGTCCGACAGCAGCGGTGACGCGCAAGGTCCTTGCAAGTTGAGCAAGCATCTCTTGCTGAACAGCTCATAAGCCTCAGTTTATCCAATACAAGTTCAATCCCTCTTTGTTCAATCCCTCTTTGTAGCGCCAATGTAGCGCCCAGGTTTCCTGCAGCCTAGAAGCTTAATTGATCCTTGTGGCATGCTGAGTTGGAGTCCATTGCAACTCCGCCGTTTGAACCGTCTGACTTGGAGCTCAAGTAATTTCCAGACTCAGCGCAGCTTTCTGAACCGTAAGTGTTCAGTTGCATCCTTCTGAATGCATATGCTTTTCTCGGCAAGGCTTCTTGGTCAGAGGGCTTGCACGAAGGTCTTGTTGGTGGATGGCAAAATATGTTTTAGGTGGACTCTTAGCGACCTCACCCGACAAGCAGGTGTCTCTCATTGGAAGCTTTTACCTCGGGTGTGTGAGAGTTGCAGTACCTGGAGTTTCCATGACCCTCAAATCAAAACTAGGGTTGCGACCCACTACTCTGGGCATAAGACCCCGTTCGCGAGCTGGAGAGCGCCACTGGGTTGCTGGCAGAACCTTGGGAGGAATATGCCGAGAGACGTGTGGCTTAGTCCCGGGCCAGCTTAAGAAGAAGGGTCGATGAGTAGAAGCTTTGGATTGAGAGGAAGTCGACTCGCAGCACCCAACTGCGAAACGCTATTTCCAGCAGCCAGGACGCCCCCCGAATGTCGCTTTTTTGCCTATGTGTGCCCCTTCTGAGTTGAACGCAGCGCGCCACACTTCTTCGAAAAACGACTTTGCGTGGGTCTCTACATGTTCAACCTTGCACGGTGGTCGGTTTTGGGGCTCAAAGGCAAGAGGTCGCGGCAAATTCAACTTTCCTTCTCTGATACACCCCTCAAGCAGCTACATATGACCGGCACTGTGACATTGTAGCTGCAGCGTTTGCCTTGTGCCCTACCTGCAACAATTGGTCAACTATTTTGGTGACCAAGCGTATATCTCAGTTATATCTCACTTGTTTTTACACACGTGCCTGGAGATGTGAACAGGCACAAGGATGAGCATCCGAACATTCTGCTTCCACGAGATTCGACGCCGTTACGTGGTTCACACAGAGAAGCCAAAGAGGCCAGAGGAACTGCCGAATCTCCCACCGGGGTTCATAGTAATTACATTTTCGCAGGTGAGAAGCATCTAATATATTGGTTTTTTCTATGTGTATAGTGTATGCATGCATGTATGTGTACTTCTTTCTTGTATTCTCACATATTATATGCAAATATATAGATACGTAGATACATACATACATACATACATACATTTCATCGGCCCTTCTTTGGCTGCGCCTATCCTTCTGCAGCGACTAGCTGAAAAGTGCGGCTCTTTCGGGGGAGGGGTGGGGATGGGCCTCGGCTGGTGAAGCCTGCGTCCTTCTCCGGCCGAATCGAAATGCAAGCGACGAATATTTCTATATGGGTGTGCCAGGTCCCCCAGTAGTGCCCTTTTACCGCTTTTTTTTGGGGGGCAGGGTTCCCTACTAAAACAGACTAAAGCCAA